ACACACACACACACACACACGCACACACGCACACACATAGAAGTGCCACTGCTCAGCAGAGGTCAGCAGAGTAGGAAGAAGAGGGAAACCAAAATAAATTATTCATACCAATAATTGTCCGCTGACTGTTCTCATCAGTAGTTCCAGTAATGTGTCCAGTCCCCACCCCCACCCTCCAGACTTTGATTAAATTAAACTATATGTCATTTAATCAGCTTTATTTTTAAAACACAAAGTGTTGTACAAATATGAGACTTAAACAGAAACAATCGTATAAAACTAATATCACATAAGATAAATACTGTAGGCTGCAGCACTGACAGTAGAGGTGTAAAAATGCATCAATATATCGATTCAGTGATTAATGATTCAAATACATCAAGGCAAAACAAAAACATTGATCCATATCATCATCATATACTCAGTGTGGATCGATATCATATGTCTATCTAACATAATGATTGTGTTAGATGTAGGGGCAGATTTCCTTAATTTTGGGAGACTGGATGATACTAAGATCGATGGAAAAGATTGGCTTTTCATCTACCTCCACAAAGTTTGAAAATCAGCCACTGTCACCTTTTGCTCTGCTGTGAGCACCACCTAATGTCCAGTTAAAACAAGTTTGTATTGATTCAAGGGTTTTGTTCAATGCTTTTCAATAAAATAAGATCGGACATCGAAAGGGTATTGTGACCATAAAACACCTGACAGTGTCAGTTATTTTAAAATTTGAATCKGCAGGTCAGACATTTTAAAGATCGTGATCGGCCAGAATGAGTRCAGTTAGACGAGCTTATGATATTGCACTACTGTATATCAGTTGCAGAACTGTGAATCAAATCAAAATGGTGTCTTGACTCGTGTTATCAAGAAACCTTGTATTCTCATCCAAACAAATGGTGATTTACACTTTGTGTGTTTTTTGTGTTTTTAAATGTATAAGGGAGATAAAGGGAGACACAACTTATTAATATTTTAATTAATTACAWATAAACATCAAACAGAAAATTCCATGAATGAGACAGTTCCTGGTGGCAGATTCTGTCAAAACTACAATTGTCAGAGAGTCTTTTTAGACTCAAACCTATCAGTCACCAGCCAGTAAGGCCACTTGTCTGATCATGACTGCAAGGTCACATCACTTAGAGGTCATTGCAGATATGTACTACATGATAACTGTTGCAGAAAACCTTTCAGTAAATCTTTTTTTTTTCATGACAATCTAAAAGAACAGTTGTGGAGCTAAAGGGATAATTCATGTCATTTGAAGGAAGAGTTTAAAAGGTTAATATCTTAACTATTTTCAGAAATAGAGTTTAGTTTTGATCAGATTGACAAGTTAACAAATGGTCTAAATGGGGCCAAAGTCAAAATGGACTGCTGTTGTTTTAAACAGCTCCAGTTGTTACAATTCTATAGTGTTTCATGCAAATGTTATTTTATARACTGTTACACTGTTGTCGATTTCTTTTTAAACTGTTATTCCAGCAGAAACCTGATTATTCAGGGTGTGTTTAAGCCTGCGATAGTGCTACAACCAGCTGCTGTTGCTATTATTTGTGTCTGTAAATACCATAAAATTTGGTGTAATGTGAAACTGCAGCAATGTAAAGTATTGTTTGTAAGACCCACTTTAACAGTTGTGCGCATGTAACTATTTTAAAATGACATCACTCGTCTTTGGTTTTGGTCCTTCGTTGACTACCTGTTAGCTCACCTGTCCAGTCAGAATTAAAAATCTGTTTTTTTCCTAAATGAGGTCATTCAAAAAGCTATRTAGGATGATAGTGTTCATAATTTTTCCACAGAAGATGTGAACTGTGACCTTAGGTGTACAAATGAGAAGCATTGCTTCAGATGATGTTGCTTAGATGCTTAATAGTTCTGCTCTGAGAAATATAGATCATGAATGTGTATTCTTCARCGGTTCTCAGATTAGTGACTCTTCACATAAACTCACTGGACCAGTTTGAGTTGCTTATGTCTGCCTGTTTGTTGGGGGGGTGGGGCTGAACATGAGCTCCACTCAGTCTCACTTCCTAGTACTGAATGTGTCATAAAACCATGTTGGGCAAACAAASCTCAACTTGTAAAGTTAATTAGTCAAGGTTAAAATTCTTTCCTGGTGCACATCAGCCATTGTTGTGCTTCCTTGTTTTGTCTGAACCTGAAATCATTGCGAGGCCGTTTCCCCAACACGTGCCTTTGGAGACGCGTACAAAAAGACGCAGAGTCCCTTTGGTTGTCGTCTCGCAATGATGTCACGTATCTAGAGTTTCAGCACCCGGTGCTTTTCTTCTTCCTGTAGGAGTGGAAAAAGTTCATTTCCTTCCTCTCTTGTATTGTCTTTGACAAAGCTGCTCTGGGTTTAGTGCAATTGGTTCTCTCTTTTCCCACAGCACAAGACTACAAAGTCAGGTTCCAGTCTGTAAAGGTAAAAGACTCCTCTGCAGCCTGGACCTGCTGTAATTCAACACATCTCCCTCCCCTTTTTTGCTCCGGCGCTCTTCCTCTTCCTGCCTCCCTAAAATAGGCCAGCTTTGGATCATGTGACTGAATGTGACAGAGAAGGCTTACATCCACACGCTTCCACACAAAGACAGGTGTGCTGCTAGTGCGGGGGCGTTTTAGTGAATAAGGATTTGTCTGGACTCCCTTTAGTTGAGAGTGTGGTGTTTAAAGCTTAGTAAAAAGTTCTTATTCTGTCACATCAGCTTTGCTGCAATGTCCTTGGCTAACTTCCTGATTCACTCTTATAGTTCACATCTACTGTGTCTCTGCATGMTTAAGTTGGAATAAGGGTACGTGCAGAAGGTGGCAGTGTAGAGGTCAGTATTTTTCCACATGGTGTTGCTGCGCGTGTGTGTGTGTGTGTACATGCACTGCATAGTAGTGCATGTACACACGCAGTGGCGTCTGGTTTCCCTGAATCACCCCACGGAGAGGAGGAGAGCAGGGCATTGTTGGGAGAAGGAATGCAAACAGAAAGGAGAAGGAGGCGGGAGTAGAGCGTGATCTCTTTGAATTGTAAATCAGACTCCACATCGTGTCAGAGGTGAGCTGAGGGCTCAGCATGACCTTTTTACGGTAAAAAYCATGCTCGCAGACAACACACGGCCTCGTGTCACCTCTGGGAACGTCACCTCGCTCATCAGAGGATGAAAAACTAAAGATTTCAACAAATTCTCAAGGTCTTTCCAAGTTTTCACTTTCAGTCCAAGTCTTTGTGCCTGACCATGCTATTATGTAGTTAGACCTTAAACAAAGGACAAGGACATGGGGGGAGGATAAAAATGTGTCAGGCTTAATAAAAATCATCAACAACTAACAGTGTCTAATGTGGTGAGTTTTAAGAAATGAAAAGAAAACATCCAACAAAGACCTGAGAGATGCATCATCCTTCAGTTCAATGGTTTCCAACCTGGGGGGATCCAGGGTGTAAACCTGTCTGCTCAGAGGTTGAAAAGCTATCATGTTATCATGTTATTGTTTGTAAAAATCCACAAAACAGGTCCAACAAGTACCAACTGTGAATCTTTAGACTTCACCTTATTCATATAATATTTTAATGAATGGGTTAAGGTTGAACATGTTTTTGGGAGAGGTGAGGAGTAGCAAAGAGTTATTTTTCTTTGAGGGAAGGGGGGAGGGGTCMGCTTGACTTGGAAGGATGAAATCAGGGCTTTGATGAAAATAGCTTGAGAACTGCTGGTTGATCATCTGAGTGRGATGGTGCAAAACCTCACTGTGTATTATAACTCTGTTCTTTGTGTACTGTAAATATAAATGCTCCATATTTTTATTTTTTATTTGTATTTTGACTGTAATTTTAACTATGTCCTGTTGTGTCTGTCTCTTGTACAGCACTTTGCTTGGCCTTGTGCTGTTCAAAGTGCTTTATAAATAAAGGTGGTATGGTATGGGTATGGTATCTGTCAATATTGAGTTAGTAGTCCCCTTTGAATAACTTTGTTCTTAATATATATATATTTTCAAACTGTATTAACTTTGTTTTTTTATAGATTCAACTAAAGATATTAGCAAACGTTTTTAGTGACAGGCTGCTGGTAAAAGCTCTACTTGGTTTTATCTCATGTGATGACTTAAATTCACACATGTCATGTTATGGGAACATATAATGATGACAGTACATACAGCACAATGTACCTAAAGATCCAMAATAAAATAAAATTGTCTGTTGTGAATTGATATGGCACTGGTTCATTCCTTGAGTTTAAGAACTGGCTTTATGCCTGAACACTTCATATAGGGCTAAGGTTAAGTGGTTTAACAAACAAACACTCGTTTGTCTGGACTGAAAATGATATGAGAAGCATCAAAAAAGGCCAAATAAAAACTTTAAAAGCTTTTGAAAACATATTTTAAAAGGATTATCAGGAAGTCTGGCTTAGAAGCAARATCTAACAAAATGTAGGATGACTAAAGACCTTTGTTTTATACTGTAGGTCATATAAAATGTTGCCCTGTCATGATAAAGGATTTGCATGAACACCAGTGAGGTTTGCTGTCAGAGAGGCTTTCTGTCCTGAAGCAGGAACTGAAGTCAGTCTTGGCTTTGTGGTTTTCTAATAGTTCCATATAAAATCAGCTGCTTCCCTAAACCCWTCTGCTTTGAGTTAAACTGAACTCTGGATCTCAAACTGAGCATATAACRATGTTTTAGTTGAGCTTAAGACACTTTTCTTATTAAACTTCCTTTCCAGGAAATTACACTGTTAWATTAAATGTCCAAATGACAAAAAACACGGTTGAGTGAGCAGATAAGCTGAAGGGGGGAAAAAAAGGATTATCTAGTTCAGGGATTCTCAAACTGTTTGGGTCTGGGGACCCCCTACAGGGGTGAGACATTTCCAGAGACTCCCTCATAAACATGCTAATTAAAATTAATTTATAATAATAATTTATTTTGGTTTAATATATTTTATTTCTGGTGCACTTCCCTCATATCGATTTATGCAGTTTAATTTTTTTTAATCAACAATTTATTGTAATTTTTTGAGGACCTATTAGCTATGGTTTGCAGACCCTAGTTTGAGAACCTCTCATCTAGTTAACTGAGAATAGTAAGCAAGGCTGTTTCACATTAAGATGATAGAAACTTATATTTGTGAGGGCTTATGAAGCGTTTTTTTATGTTGAAATTGCTCTTACAATTCTAAACAAATGATAAAAGAGAGAAACTGCAACAGCAGGACACTTAACGGAGGGGAATGGACATCAGGAGCTGAAGCAGCTGCAGAAACAGTGAGCTGGCAGCTGAAAGAGTTCACAACATAAAACCTCAAAGGATACTTTTACATCAGCTGACCGCCAGAGGAGTCATCATGATCTGTGTCAGATAAACATAACATTCATTTTTTAGAAGTGTAAGATTTAAAAAGACATAACAATCAGCTCTAAAAATGCTGATCATATGATAAAAAATTGATATTCTTAAGAGATTTCAACAAATATGCTTACAAAACAAATATTAATGCTTAAAAACAACTAAGTTTGCAATTTGAAGTTATGGTTTAACTTTCGAAGTRGAGCATCCACATGAGAAATGTGATGTTCAGATCAGGCGCTGATAATCATGAGGTCTAAGTGGAGTTTGTCTTCACATTTATCCTCTTTTGTTTTCTTTATCTTCAAAATGTGGGAAATCATTGCACCCAGGCCTAAATAGCTACAGAGCTACAGTGAAAATGTTGGGAATGCCTGCAGGWATGTAAAGGCACTGAAAGAGTTCTCAGAAATATTTCCAGTAAATAAAACCACTGCAATAAAACTACTCATTTGAGGGCTTTTAGTTTTCAAGTGCCCGCTAATTTATTCAGGACTGGCCAGCTCAGGAAGCTCAACCAAAGGCTTGACCAACGTGAAGACACGCATCCATGAACTGAATTTAGAGTCTTTAAATAACTCACAGCTGTTTGAGTCAAAGGGCAAACATCTAAAATCAGAAAGAGACTGCAGAAAACGTGGCCTGCCTTGCAGTGAGGGCAGCAGGAAGGTCAAAACTTGTRCTGCAAATGAAAAAGAGTTGCACAGAACTAAAGAGACATCCTGCTCTAAACCGTCGTGCTGCAGATGTTCATGCTGTCCACTCTCATGATGAGAGAATTTGTAGGGAGGTTTTAGTTTATTAAGCTTTAAGAGTGACATTAAGTAATAAATAAATGAGCATTTCTGTTAGCTGAGAGCCACACAGAGCGATGTTGATGCCCTGAATTAAAAAAGTTTTAGCTGAAATGTAACTGATGTGTTCATATGAAACACGTTGACTCTGTGTGGAGTCTTGCTTATAGCAGCTGCGGATATTTATGGTGCAGCAGCTTGACCTCTGACCTCCCTTTATCACCTCCTGTTAGATGGTTGATTAGGGTCGCTTGCATTAAAAACATTTAAAAAAAAGCAGCTACCTGTCACGACTCCTTTGCTGTTTTATTATTTTATGATGGACACAGTAGCAACAATRAGCAGCAGTTCGAGTTTCAACACACTTTAACGAGACCAAAGCTTTGTTTGACATCCACATTCCTCCGAATTGATTTATTTAATTTTTCTTCTTAATTGTACTTTGTAYTATTGGATATTCAGTTTGCATGTAATTTTGTAATAAATGATAGAGACTGAGCTGGAGTAACTGTGTGTTMTGAGTTTTAATGGGAGAGGACTGCCAAGCACAAACATGTCAGCTGTTTTTAAAGAAGGTTAGACTGTTCAATCCAGCCCCCAGCAGGCCTGATCCTGTGAACGTATTTTATTCAGTTTCTGAGGAGCAGATGTTTTAGCTGTGGGCACCTCTCTGACTACAGCACGTGCTAATGAGCCTTCATCTCTGTATCAGACTCCACATTTAGATTTACTATAAGGAATGTAACAAGTACAAAGCACTGAACAGTTCCCGTATATTAAACTATCCAGCTTATTTGTTATTCAGATGTGAATTATTATCTGTTATCACTGACTACTTTAAAATGTTTTGTTTTTATTCCTATTTATGTCAGTATGTTTTATCATAAACAAAATTACTACTTTGCCATTTAGTTTTTTAACATATTTTTTGACCCATATAACTAGAAAGCGGGAATTACCRTATTTCCTGTAAAAACCCTCCCAGTCTCTCAGGGTTAGTCTTTCAAACCAGAGCTATAAGGAAATAGTGATGATGTGGAAGTCACAACCTTCTCTGAATAGTTCCACACTGAATCATATTAGTCAATTATTAAATAAAAATCCCTGCCTGATCATTGCACAGTGTGAATCACTGAGGGCCTGACGTTTTATTTGGCACACTTGTACCATAAAGCAGGTCTGCTCTGCTCTGTGCGTCATCAAACRCTGATGCAACAACGATTTTCTCCAGAATTGTTTAACATCCTGTTTCCTAAAGTCCAGGAGGCTCAGGCTCACAGAAGTGGGCGGATTCAGCTTTACGACATCCTGACATCATGCTAATTGCTTTAGTATACTTTTTAATCAGCTGATTGGCTGTTAATACGGTCCAGAACAACTTTTAGATAGACTTATCTGATCTTTGACTCATTTCACTTCATGAAGTCACAGTAAATTTCCTGTTTCATGCTGATGTGGCTGCTGAAGATGCTGTATCACAGACAGTATTGTGCTTTTCAGGAATGCAGTGCAACAATAAGGATCATATTTATTTATTATAAGAAATTTTCGGACAGTTATGTTCTCTCTGTGTGTCGTGTATTTAGCTGCRAATAAATCTTTATCCCATTGTCCCAGATAGATGTGTTTAAATTTTAGACAAAAGTTAAATACCTTCTCTTTCTGATATGTATTTTCAGATTGATAAGTACCTGTACTCCATGCGCTTCTCTGACGAGACGCTGCTGGACATCATGCACCGGTTCAAGACGGAGCTGGTCGAAGGACTGGGCGGGGACACCAACGCCACCGCTTCACTGAAGATGCTGCCGACRTTCGTGCGATCCATTCCTGATGGAACAGGTGAACTCGGTCACGTGGTTTTGATGACGCACAACTTCAAACAGAGGGCAGGAAGTAAAACGTCTGTGGAGGAAACCATTGTAGGGTGTCCGAATTATGCGAARTTAGATCCAGTTTCAAACAAAGAAATCAGCAATTAGTTCACAAATATGTCAGACACGACCCGTACCTGATGAAGATGAATGAGTTTTCAACAGAACCTAAAGATTTGCCGACAAGGCATTTTTTTATATGAGCTTTCTACCTTTCTCACGTTTGTGTCTGACAATATTTGGTACTCAATAATGCCCCTTTTCCTTTTCATCTGTTTAAAWTTTTTGGAGTAGCTATAAACTACACAACTACGGCAGATCTTCCACTACTTCATTCCCTGCCCTCCATCTGTATTTCTCTTTCTGGCTGTACTGCRTTGTGACATAACATGACATGACAGCAACCTGATCAGTGCTGGGACACTGAGATTAAATAATCATATATTTATTTTGATTTAATTTGTATAATAATAAAGATAGGACTACAAAGGCTATATRTAATTCAGAAAAGACTAAATTAATAGTGATGATCAGTCATGATTGTTCAAATTTTGTCCTCTTGTTTCTGCTGTATTCAGAATCTTTTTTAAGTTAAGTTGCAAAATATCAACTTAAATTGCTCAAAACTAATGCCAACAAATCTCTGTTTTGTTTACAAAAAATTGGACACAAGACTGAACGACATTACACACATTCAGTTCCGAGATTAACTGTAATCATGCAGCCGTTGTTAAATAAAATAATCAAGAGTGACATTCAGTTTTATCAGGAAACTAACWATTCTTAGGGGAAGGAATACATTTCACACACAACCTTGCACAAATATAAATGATTTGCTCAATATATGTAAAATTGACTGACTTAAAAAAAATAGTTGTGTTTGCAAAGGTAGAGTAGTTAGGGAATTAAGGTTGGATAATTAAAATGAACTTCAAATAAACCTAAAGCCAGCCACATAAAATAAAATGAATCAACAGCATCTTCACATGAGTTTGAATTAAATAACCTAATAACTYCTCATGTAACAGTCATTTAATTGTCAGTCGTCTTTTCATACTTCGCAGCTGCTTCTGTATTGACAAGGACACTGTTGTAAAAAGAGATTTTATCATGAAATCAAGTAGAAAAAAAGAAATAWTCAGCTCTGAAAAGCTTTACACCAGGTGAAATAAACCCTTCATAAAGCGCCTGCTTGTGTTATTCATTAACAAGTCCATTTACAGTAAAGTAAGAACCGGTATGAAGCAGACCTACAGGGTTGAGCTCAGCATGTCTGTACAAGAATGTGTTCGTGTTTTTATAGGTGAGGATTTTGGTTCAACGACACGACCTCTGATGATAAAAAAGCTAACTGCATCAGTTTCACGTTTTTATATTTTAATTTATTCTCGTGTGAACTGATGAAGCAGATCTTTTAGTTGTCATTCGTGAACACAAACTCTGCCTAATCAGCTGCTTTAAGACAGCAACATTTTGACTGATTTTATCTTTTTACTAATGTTCCAGCTTCCTGTTTTTTTTTTCTGCTTCGACAGAGAAAGGAGACTTCATTGCGTTGGATTTAGGAGGGAGTAACTTCAGGATCCTTCGTGTCAAAGTGAGCCACGAGAAGAAGCAGACCGTTCAGATGGAGAGTGAGGTCTACGACACGCCCGATGAAATCATCCACGGCACCGGAACCGAAGTGGGTTTGCAGTGAAATACAGATTCAGATACACAGTTTTCTGGTTGATAACTCCTGAGTTAATGTTTTTTTTTTTTCGTCTGTTTCCAGCTTTTTGATCATGTGGCRGAGTGTCTCGGTGACTTTATGGAAAAACACAACATCAAAGAAAAGAAGCTTCCTGTTGGTTTCACCTTTTCCTTCCCCTGCCAGCAGACCAAGCTAAATGAGGTGAGCAACATGGATTTAGGGTTTAATACCCTGCCACTTGATGAAGAGCAAAAAAAAGGGGGTTTCTTTGACATGGTGTTGTCTCCAGGGTTATTTGATAACGTGGACGAAGCGTTTTAAAGCCAGCGGAGTTGAAGGGATGGATGTTGTCCAGCTGCTCGACAAAGCTATCAAAAGAAGAGGAGTGAGTCTTATCTTGGTTTTTACTTTGACTTTGTATTTCAGAAATGACATGAAATAAAAGCTGTCAAACAATCGCTGGATTTAATTGTTTCAGGACTACGAAGCTGACATCATGGCTGTGGTGAATGACACGGTTGGAACTATGATGACCTGCGGCTTTGATGACCAGCGCTGTGAAGTTGGCATCATCATCGGTAGCGCGCTCGGTTAAAGACATCGTTTGTTATGGGAAAGGCAGATCAAACGTGTTCGTGACTTTGTTTTTGCGGTCGCAGGCACCGGCACCAACGCCTGCTACATGGAGGAGCTGCGCCACATTGACCTGGTGGAGGGAGACGAGGGCAGGATGTGCGTGAACACCGAGTGGGGGGCGTTTGGAGATGATGGCAGGCTGGAGGACATCAGAACCGAGTTTGACAGAGAAATTGACCGAGGCTCTCTCAACCCAGGAAAACAGCTGTATGTCAGACTTAAAATAAATCCTGGAAAAAACTTAACGCTACATCTATTTAATTAATGTTGAATTGTCCCGTGGTTTGTTTGTTTTTGACAATATTTATTCATTTAATTTAAAAACAAACAAATTCACATACAAAAAAATACATATCAGATAAAATGAAAGGTGGCAGAAAGAAGAAAAAATCTTATATCTGCCCCTATTTAAGAAATATATATATTAACTATAATAATAATGGTTTCAAACAATAACATTGTTCAAACAATGTCGTTGCATCTCTTGTGCAGGTTTGAGAAGATGGTCAGTGGGATGTACATGGGCGAGTTGGTCCGTCTCATCCTGGTGAAGATGGCCAGAGAAGGTCTGCTCTTCGAAGGAAGGATCACCCCTGAGCTTCTCACCAAAGGCAAATTTGATACCAAGCACGTGTCCGCTATAGAGAAGTAAGTTACAGCACTGCACCGAAGAACCGATTACATTTGTGTTGTTATAAAGGCATGAAAAACAAAACGATTCACCACATTCACWTTAGTCACGCTGTCTGTGTGCTCTTCTTTTGTTTAGGAGTAAAGAGGGGTTAACCAAGGCAAACGAGATTTTAACCAAACTTGGAGTGGAACCATCGGCAGATGACTGCGTCGCTGTGCAGCATGTAGGCATCTTTACCAAATATCACTGGATAGAATTCAGTCAGTATCTGTATCGGGCAGCTTTTTTACAAGTACTCCTCGTCCAAAATGTCCGTTACTGGGGACCGATATCAATACTTGTATCAATACTCATTTTACAAGTGAAAAGTTTGTCATTTATATATTTAAAAAAATCATTGAAGTTAAAAGAAAATCTTTTGTTATTTTAATTTAGTGACTTCACATCACGCTGTTTGAACTGATCCATTCAGAAGTGCTGTAGACCTATAAGGAAGGAGAGCCACCTTGTATAAAAGAAATGTCCTTTTGAAGTTATTGTGTGATGTTTAGGTTCTAACTTAGTAAGTACTCAGTATTGGCAAGTACCCAAACTGAAGTACTTGTACTTGGTTTGAGATAAACTTGCATTGCGACTCTCCTAATTCAAATTTCACCCAAAAAAATGTTTTAATATAAACTGAAGGCGTTGTTCTGAATAAGTCAAACTGAAGCAAATGAAATTCTACACTTTTTACCTTAAAATATGTTTGCAAATCTATTTGACAAAAAGAAAAATGATTCATTAGGACTTTTTTTTAATACATAAACAAGGGGTGGTGATTTTATACAACTATTCTAGGGTTCCTGCAGATCCTTAAAAAGTCTTAATAGGCATTGAATTCATCAATCCAAAAATAAGGCCTTAATTAACCTTAAAATGTCTTAAATCAATCTTAAAAAGCACATTGTAGCTAAATAGGATGATAATAATTCGTCTTCAGTTTTTAAAAATAATTTACCGAATGCCTCTCAGRTCTAGTTGTTTTGTATTAAAGTAAACATTTGGCTAAAATGTTTCTTTTTGAATCTTCCCTTGTGTGGTTTTTAGTTTTTCTTTTAAGGGTTGCACCTCCTCATGATGTCTTCATGAAGATGATCCTTGCTCTGTGCAGGGTCTGTGGCTGCATGAACCAGGGCACCTGTTCTCCTGTTTGTTATGTTCTGTGTTCTTCTGAATGAGTGTTCTGAACTGTAAATTCATTGTGCTCTGTACAATGACAATACAGGTCTATCTTATCTTATCTTATCTCATCTTATCTTATCTTATCTTATCTTAAAATTGTCGCTAAGTTTTTCTTGGTTTTGTCTTGATGCATCTCATCCTAATATTTTCTTTTTGATATTTATTTTTTCATATTGTTTGTTGTGAAGTTGGTCTTAAAATCAATTTCAAGTGGCATTRAARAGGTCTTAAAAAGTCTTAAATTTAACTTGTTTTAAGCTGTAGTAACCCTGTATTTAAAAAAACATAACTTGTCTAATTTCTGTTGGGCACTTTTAGTAGTAAAGTTTGAATATTGTACAGTTTGATGACTTTCTATCCATATTTTTCCTTATTGTTCAGGTTTGTGCCATCGTCTCTTTCCGCTCTGCCAGCCTGGTAGCTGCTGTCCTCGCCGGCATCTTAATGAGGCTGAAGGAGAACAAAGGAGCGGCGCGACTCCGAACCACCGTKGGCATCGATGGCTCCCTGTACAAGATGCACCCGCAGTGAGTGTGGCCATTTAAAACGTCACTTATTCCTAGTAATACGTATTTACTACTAAATATTTGTTTTTTAGCACCTAAACTTTTTTTTCCTGACTTAAGATACGCTCGTCGTCTTCATAAGACTGTCCGACGTTTGGTCCCAGACTGCGACGTTCGGTTCCTCCTGTCAGAGAGCGGCAGCGGGAAAGGTGCTGCCATGGTCACTGCTGTGGCGTACAGACTCGCTGAACAGTCCCACCAAATCGCTCAGATTCTGTCCGAATTCCACCTGACGAAAGAGCAGCTGCTGGAGGTCCGTGTCCCGTCAGTGAGAGCTGAAACCAAAGTTTGAAATAAGTAAAACTGAAAACATTCTTTGTGACTTCAGGTAAAGAAGAGAATGAGGRCGGAGATGGACCGAGGCCTTTCAAAGAGCAGCCAGGACTCTGCTACTGTCAAAATGTTGCCAACCTTTGTACGGAGCACACCTGATGGCACAGGTAACACACAACACAGCCCATTGAAACTTTGAAGTTTGACAGAACGGTTAAGACTGTTAGAGTCTGTAACACAGCAGCTTGTTTTTTTATTATTTTATTTTATTTTTTTGTCTTATTTTGTTAATTGAAGATTTATTGACAATATA